TGTACCTTTCCTACGGCTTTCTTGATACAACATGTCCGAACGTTGAAACACGCCAGACGAAACGAGGATCGGGGACGAAGTAGAGCCATAGGTTGAACTCCTTGGTCTGCGGCGAAACCGGAATGGCAGCCAGATTGTTGAACCCATGAATCGGGTAACGGAAAGTGAGGATTGTTAGCAAACCAACAGTTGGCGTGTGATGAAGTCGCGTGAAAGTGATTAGCAGAAACAGTAGCTGATGAGCACGTTGTAATACAGTCCATGGTTTTGCGAGAGGGCGTGATACTACCCGGTTGCCCAAGACTTTGTATTGGGTTGACTTAGGGGACTCCACCCCGAGCCTTTGGCTAAATAAACGACCCGCAAGACCGCGGGGCGAATTTAGGGAATCGCGCCCATTGGGAGGCTTTGACTGAATGATCAGTTCATGCGTCTTTGTTTGGTAGGTCACAAATCAGGGGCCCAATACTCTCAATGAAGTCAGCACAATTGCTGGAATACAATGCCCAACGGAGGTGGAACATTGTCGCCGAACACTTTGCTGGCATGGAGTACACCCGAACCACCCAGCTATCACTACGAGGAGGTAGTTCAGCAAGCCAGATACAGTCCACTACATGGAACAATCCATACTTGCAGCGGAAGTGCATAAGTTAGTTGTTCGAACTGTTTGGGTTGGTTTCCAAGCATCCTTCAGAAGTGGTCCAGCGTTTTACGGCAATAACAAGAAGGAGAAGTTCATGGCAAGGTAAGCAGTACTGTAACGAAACGTTCAAATGAAGTAACATGGCCATTCATACGTGGCAAGTGCGCAACCTAATGCAAGTAATTCACTATAGTTTGTTGATTGAATAAACTGAAATGCCCATTGTCACCTCTCATACACCTACGTGCCTCACAATTACGCACACCCTATTGCTTGTGGTACACCGAAGGGAGGAATGGTCAAAGGCCAAAACATGCCTTACACCAACAGCCTGAAGGCAACATAATACACTGAGGCGGATGAGAACGGATTCACTGTGATCCTGTACACACGACCTTTACAACTAAGCGCTATTCTTCATGGTTTCATAGATATCGTAATTTGATAATACTGATAGCTCTAGTTTTGCAATGCGTGTGACAGTTTCGTTAACCAAATATCCATCGTTAAGATAAAAGCCAAGACAGGCAAACTGACAATCGTTCTTCACTTCTTCGTCGTCAACTTGTTCCCTTGTGTATCGCCACAGCTGAGGACTCTGGGCTTAGTTATGCCTTCGGACGTACTTTATTTGGATTGATTTACTCATAGATGGGCCGTCATGCGAAATAATTGATCATCTTATCCCGTGACACCTGGTTCTATATCCCCAGATTTATACTTCGTATACGTGGCTAACAGAGTGCAAGTCTATTTGTGTGGAGGGTTAGACACACCTCACTTCTGCTTGGGGAAGGGTTACTACCAACCTACCCGGTAGTTCATCATCCTAAATTATGTTGGACGAATAAGTCATTCTTCCATGTTCTACACTCCAGGTCGGCCGTGACACATGTAAGCTTCGCACATCTTACATTGGCTGAAGTACGATCCTCCTATAGTTTAAACTATGAGAGTGAGTGTCTCCAGATGGTTAGCGTGGAAACACTGTTGTACCAACGTACTCAGGGCTTTTCCCAATTCATAACAGAAAGACTGGCCGCGCAACTTGGGATTTACTAACCAGGTGGAAACTGGGATTTCGATTCAACACTTCACGACACCACCTTTCCTTTACTAACCACTAAGTAGATTTAATCTGAGGTAGCCGAGAGTACCTCTGTATTTTAAGTTGCCTCTGGCTAGCAGGCTTTCACCTGCGCAGTGTATCAATTGAACATAAAATGAAGAATAGCGGCGCAACTTCCATAACAAAGTCCGAACTAAACTATCCTCCTCCAACGCAGACAGATTGTCTTCCTGTATCAGTTGGAAACTTATTTTTCGCTGTGAATAGCAATACGGAAAGCTGTTTTGTCCACCATCCAATGTGCTTGTTTGGGTGTTGTTCGTGAGACCTTCATGTTCAATTCATAACATATTATTCTATCCCTCATAGCCCCACTCTCTGCTATCTATTAGGAAGCTGCACAGCTGCTGTTCGAAACATTTTCCGCTGCTCAAGATCTGATTGTCAAGTGCACGACCGGCCTTACCACACTATGCGTTGCTTTAATACTCCCAGTGATGGAAGATTCGCAACCAAGTCCCACATCAAGCACATCTGGCTCCCGTTCCCCCACCTCTTCCACAAGCTCTTTGCATCCGCGCCAGTTCGCCCTCATTGTGGCTAGCGTTGGTGATTCGCAGGCCTTTCTACTCAGCAAATTTCACGGAATTCGTGAGTTGACTGGGTGGATGCCCCGGAGTACTGCCAGTCCCGATAGTTGCACTTTTCCGGAGGATAAAATCAAAGCCTCCAGTCCACTTCCTTCATCCCCGCCTGCAAGAGATTTTCGCGATTGCGGTGGTGCATTGGGTTCCGTGTATGCGGACAACAGCCCGGAGTTGAACAATCTCATATGCGCAGGTGGGTTCGAACGGTAGCATTGGCAATCCTATTTTGGTAATCTAACCAGACAGTTTTTAATTAAGCCGCTTCATCCTTATTTTCATATGGCTTTCATTCAAATTATGGTATATTTTTACTTAGTGGGTGCATCTTCCTGCTTTAACGTAGTTAAGCACAACAAAGTGGACTGTTTTATACAGTGCTTCTCTCTTATTTTTTCTGCTTCTCAAACTCATACGACATCATCATACGCCAATTGTTCGTACGTTAACAATGCTTGTTACCTGTTACCTGATTCCTTTGTTCCTGGATCAGCTGGCGATTCTCGTTGCACCGCGAACCATAGAGTTCAACCCGTGGCTCTCCTTCAATCCCGATCCTAGTTCCGTCTGGCTTGCTTCAACATACGGATACTCATGTAGATTAGACAATAACCCAGTCTTGCGCGCACTATGAACTTCCTCGATGCTGACATCTGTTACCTTTTGGAAACCCGATGCACTTTGCTTACGCTGATATCCCCCACTAACCACGAAGCCAGGTGTAACCCAGAAGAACCCTAACGGCTTTGGTTGGTGTAGGTATAGCACTAAGTGGCAAGGCCGAGGCCGAGTAACAGCCGACTGTGTGCCGTTCGGCTTCGGGTTCCATGTAGAATCAGCAGGCGCTGCGAGAAGAGACGCAACTTGTTTATGATCTCTGCGCACACTGACTGTTTACATTAGTGGCTCGATCAAGTACGACTTTTATCGGGAGTTTCAGCAACTCTTGAGTGTTGCTAAGAATTCCTATATCGTTATCTTCGCTGGGGATTTCAATGCACGAGTTGGCCGCCTTTTACCATACGAACGCCACCTTGGTGGTCAGCACGCTGTCGATGGGAACCGCTCTGATAACGGAGCGAGACTTCTCACCTTGTGTGAGCAAAACCATCTGTTCTTTCGAGCACAACTTCAGGCATACGAAGAAGCGTCCCGCAACTTGGCGCCCCACTTTTGCCAATACAAGCGTGGTCTCAAATTGATCAAATCGCAAGCTGCTTCAGATGGCGAGCAGCATAAGAGACTACATGTCTTTTTGGTCCACCTTCGTTGGTTTGCGTAAAAATCTGTATGTGTTTTGAGAGGTCCCCAACAGCGAAGCACCGCGAAATTGCTGCGAACAAATCAATTGATTTCTGGCTCCAGACGAGCTGCCAGTCTTCACTGGCATAAGCATTCAGTTGCAATAAACCTCAAGACATATAGCAACATTGGACTTGTGTATAGAAGGCGCTAACCACTTCCGGACGGTCAAGCTGCAGCCTTACTGGACGCCTCTTAAAGGCTTGGATCTTTGCTCGCTCTCTGGGGCTGTTAGACCGTGGCAGAGATATCACGGTAGAATCAGATAACAACGAACGGCGCTGATCTGCCAATCGGTAGTTCAAACAAAGCCTACACAAGAATCACAAGGCTTTATGGAGATGCACACCGCTGTCCTCTCTGGCAATACTCGCAAGCTTCTCCAACTCATTCGGTCCACTGACCTCAGGGGGTCTGATGTAAGTGAAGCTATTTGCGAGGCGGATGGGTCACCGATTATCAACCAACAGAGGCGTTTGGACCGTTAGACCGAGCTATTTCACTCGCAAATCAACTGGCCTCAACCGTCCATCCATGCACACAGCACACCCTGTTGCCTACCTTGGTTCGTTCAACTGAATCCATCCACCAAAGTGGAGGTCTGCCTCGAGATCCGACGCTTGAAGCGATCCATGGCTACCGGCTCAGGCGGCGGCGTGGCAATCCCTAACCGGCTGCCTTCGTTGTTCACAAAAATCTGGCACGAACAAAAATTGTCTTCCTCATGGGACGAATCAGTTATTGTCCCACTTTTCAACAAAGTGGCTCGCACTTCATGTGTAAACAGTCGAGATACTAGTCGCACTTTGGTTACCTCCAAGCTATTGGAATCTATTCTGCTTCGTTAACTATTCCAATACGTGAATCGTGCCACCGTAAAGAACAAGCTGCTTTCCCTTCCGGTCGTGGATGCGTGGATTAAATTTTCACACTCAGCCAACATCTCGAACACCACCACAGTTACCACAGGCCCATTGTCATCGCATTCCTAAGCACACAGACCGCAGTTGACTCCGTTGATCGACCTGCTTTATGGCGTTGCTTGTTGAATAACAGGGTGCCAGTGACATATCGCCATCTTATGTGCACTTTGCCTCCATAGCTCCAGCAGAGTGAGGGTCTACGGTAAGCTTTCTTCGCTCTTCGCTGTCAACTGCGAATTTATTTTTTTGTAATCGAGTACATCCTGTCAAGAGCTCTAGAAAGTTTCCAAAAATTTGTCCTAGTACTTCTACCGAGTGAGCGCGCGACCGACTTAGATTATGCTGATGATATCGCCTTACTTGATGACGATCCACAAGGTATGCAATACATTCAGAATGGTATAGGTAGAAATTCGTCACATCTAGACTCACTCAGACAGCAGTCACACACCCGGAAAAGCACTGTACGCGCGTTTCATCCTTTCGGGAATCGTCAGCAGTGCGCATTCCATCGGACCCTAGTAGGGCTCGAATCCGCAACTCGACTGTTGCCAGTCTATGGTTGTGACCATTGAGCTACGGGGGACGGCAACGACCATCGTGAATTAGTTACTAGATGTGATATAGCTCCGCTCACTATCCACTGATTTACACATTACTGCCGTGCAGAGGACAGGGTAGCCCCCTCACCAAGCGACGAGATTACCAAACTTAAGCCGCCAATTATCCCATAGCATTATAAGCAGTTTGGTCTACGTGCTGCTTACATAGGAGTAGTAGTGGAGTTGAATGTTATAGGCAGAAATTCGTCACATCTAGACGATTTCTGAAAAAATGAAACGCGCGGACAGTGCTTTTCCAGGTGTGTGACGGCTGTCTGAGTGAGTCTAGATGTGACGAATTTCTACCTACAATATTCAACTCCCCTACTACTCTTCTGTAACCTTCAGGATGGTTTGGCGGCTGAAGCATTTAAGTACAGCATGAGTTTCGCCCCCTCGAATTGTAAAGTGCTGTTTCAGGATTGGCCTATACCTGCTCCCGTCCTCATCCTTGTAGGTGCGGAACTTGAACAGGTAAATAGTCTCGTCTACCTTGGCGGCTGCACTTTTGCTGGCGGCACTTTCAGCAATGAAGTTTCTTTTCACATCACCAACACCCGATCAGCAGCTGTCAAGCTGAGGCAATTGTGAAGTCGTTGTGACGTCCCATTCTCACTAAAGAACCACGTTTACAGTGCCTCTGTTCGTTCCGTCTTGTTGTATGGGACGAGTCCTGGCCAATTCGCCTGGAATACATGCGTCGCCTTTCTCTCTTCGACAACGGTTTTCTGAGTTGGATCGCTCATGTGCGGTGGTAACACTGAGTTCACAGTGATGCCGGTAGACGCCGCGTCCTGGGGAATGCGAGTGTTCGCTTCAACAAACTGCTTTTGTTTTGCCATTTGAGATGGCTCAGTGATGTCCCTCGTATGGCGCCTGAGTGTTTGTCATGTCGCGCTCTATTCACTCGTCAAGCACCTGGCTGGAAGCGACCGCTTAGTGGTCAGCCTTCCACTTGGCGAAACAGCAGTGCAATCGCTTACGTTGCGTCTAGCCGCCATTAGACTCGTGCGTCTTCCAGAATGGGGACCCAAAGATGAAGAGTGGCAGGGGCTTTACACGCTTGAAGCTATGAACCGCAACTGTAACTAATGGAAGAACTATATGTAGGATTGCACTGATTCACCTTTTTAATCCATAAAACAGTTAAAACAACAAAAAACGGCGTGTGAAAAGTAAAATGTATAGTTGGCTATGTTTTGGATCAAATTATGCTTCTTTTTGATTTCGATGGTTTTTCAATGGCCCATGTCCCATTTTTGGACCGTTGCGATATATATATATATATATATATATATATATATATATAGGATTAAGAAGGTGAATCAGTGCAATTCTTGGGTGCGAAATGTTGCTTGGTGGTCTGTTCCTCAATATGTTTGAAACTCGTCCGCAACCTGCATACCGGTGAGCGCATACTTCCCCTTCTCTGGACAATTGCGTATTATTTCATGCGAACATAAGGAGCGGGACACTGCGGTGCTGCTGCTGAGTTACGATGCTTTCTTGTGGTTTAGAGTATACAGGTATTCCATTAGGTTCAGTTCATTCATGATCTCGTAACTGGGTCACAACAAGACAAAGCTTTGTTCGATTTCCCGGCAACACTTCATCATGATGCTTTGGTCAAGTACATAAAGACCATCATGTGACAAGTTCCGATGTACCTTGTCCGATTATGCTGTCTAGGGTATATTCGGCTATGTTAGTGTAGTTGGATCAGATTGAATCCTATTTGGATAGCCACACCTAATATTACTCTCCTCTAACACTGATGCAGGCGTTAGTGATGATCACCCCAACAAAACTCCGAAACATTGTGGATCCCATAAAGCTGTCAAGCGGAAGAAAATACTTGTATGTATCGTTGTATACATCAAACTGTCTAATAAACAATAAGGAAAAATTGTGAACGGAAAACTTAAAAATTTGGGAATTTGGAACAGTATCGCTGACTAATCTTTGGTGGAATATTTTGCCGTAATTAACTTTTCACGCGTGTTCCAAAATGTCATAGGCGGACAGTTGGCGAAAATAAAAATCTTACGCAGAAATTAGATTGCCGGAGGAACAGAATGAGAAAAATAGGATACTGAATACTGAACTCAGTACCAAACATTTCGGAAGCCGTCTTTGTTTAAATTTTTACATAGCACGCACGGGCACCAAGATGAACCTCAATACAGCTTCAATAGGAGGCAAACAAGATCTCAGTGTTTAATCAACCCCATGGGCCGGTTGCTCCACTCGATAACGGTAAGCCTTTGATCCTGATGAAGCTAACGAATAATATAAGAAGTAAGTTAAACTACAAATCAATGATTGTTCGGTATAGATGACTGCCTCCCTCGTTGCTTTTGGTCGTGCTA